CCCCAAAACCCCAAAACCCCAAAACCCCAAAACCCCGTAATAGGAGATATAAGGTGAAATTAAATGCAAGTTAATATAAAATGAATTATAAAACGTAAGATATTTCGAAGTTTCTAGAATGATATTCTTGTGCTTATACCTCTAAAACTCAATAAAAATTTATTAATGGACGTTTGCTGATCATCCTTATAGCCCATTCCATCCCTCAGATAAAATTGGCCCCTTGATACATCAACATAAAAAAAATGCAGAGCTAAATAGAAAGAAGAGAATGCAAATGGTACTTTGTCCTCTAAATATAGTATGGGAATCAATCTCTAATGTCTCCGAATCAGACTTTTACAAGGTAACATCCCTCAGAATCTTTCGTGACTAATCATATTTTTCTTTGAATTTTAAACAAATCTTATCAATCCAATTTTAGAGATGAAAGCCCTGCAATTAGTAAAGGTTATGCACCAGATCAGCGCAATAGAAGATACGACTACGCTTATAGATCTAAGCAAGTCTTTTACTTTTGCGTCAAATAGTGCATTTAGCTCTATGACTCAATAGATTAGGAATATTTCTGGCAAATCTTGAGTTCCTGTATACAGATTTTTGTGTCAATAATCATATTCCAAGTGTTTATTACTAAATCGGAAATTAATTCACATAGAGCCAATTGATTTCTTCAAATAATTTTTTATGGTTGTGCATTTTTCCTTATTTGTCGGTCTAACTTTTTAACCGTGCAAAATCTTTGTATAGCTTCCAAAATAATCGGTTCTATAAATATAGAGATCTTTGCTCAAGTTTTTACGGCTTCAAAAGCAAACTTTTGTTTATTTCACACTTCTTTCAAATTTTGTTTAAAAATACTTAGCTTTTACTGAAAAGAATCAATTACTTGTATTGAAACCATCTGGGATTTCTGTAATGCAATTTAGCAGCTCAAGAAGAAGAGATAGTAGACAAAATTCAGGATCGCCATCGTCCTCTAAACAGCCCTGTAACTCAAAAGAGAGTACTGGTAAGCTCAAATTATATTTTTATTCCTAAATTTGCTCAAAACTATCATTCCAATCCAACTAAGATCGTGTAAATTTTACAAAGCATCAAAAATTTGCGCAAGAATTTGTTTAAAATTCCTTCCTTATCCAAAAATCATAATCCCCAAAGACAAACATTCTTGAAATAACCCTCTATTTCTTCTCTACATCCCCAAAGGAGCCTATCTCACCTTGCACTTCATAGCCATTGGAAAGAGATCCGCTGTTGCAAACAGAAAGAAGTCTAAAAATCAAGGCGAAAGCTACCAGACAGTCATACATGGTAAATCTTTTAAACAAAATCTGACCTTCGAATATCTCAAATCCACTCGAAGTCTAACCTTGTCATTAAAGAGGCCGAGAGCTACTTAGAAGATACAGCTCAGTTTAGAAAGGAAGAGGGGAAATATATGAGAGTGGAAGAAAAGAACTATCGGACTGATAAAAACAAGTCTTCTAAAAGACGAGGTAGGTCATCATAAAGTGATGATATTTTGGAGTTGATTTAGAGTATGTGTAATGGATGGTATAGGAAAGAAATCAACGATTCATATTGAAAGACAGACTCAAAGATCAGCTTCAAAAAATAAACAGAGATTTGGGAAGAATAAAGAAAGAAGAATTGAAGATAGAGTCAAAGAGCTGACGAAAGAAATCAGTGAATTAAGGAAACAGAAAGGTGATTTGAATCTTAGATTTGAAAAGGCTAACTCCCAACTAAATGATCTTCAGCCAAAATATGATAGGGTTCTGAAAGAAAAAGAACAGTATAAAAATTTAGTCCAGCAATCAAATAAGACAAATAACAGCTATAAAAAAGAAAATGAATCTTTTGGCGATTTGATTACAGCGTTAAACAATGTTGCATACCAACTTTCTGTTTTTTTGTGTAAATAACTTGGAAATGGAAAAGAATAAAATGAGCAACGATCAAGATCATATTTATTATTCAAATAAAGTTAGAGAAGATACACCTGTTATTCAGCATTTTCATGATAGTTCAGCTTTTCATTCATCTCAGCCAATACAAGAAAACATGTATAATAACGCCTATCAAGAAGGTGTTGAAAATGCCCAAATTTCTATTCAAGATAAAGAAAAGGTAAATACATTAATTTTATAGTAGCAGGAATTGCTATCTATTATCTCCAACTTCACCAAGAACATAAATAAAAGACACTCAGTTAACATTCTCGATATGGTCAGCTTCCCAAACGACCTCCTAAACGAGTTCCCTCAACTATTCGAAGTATCTACCTACTTCACACACTATAGTCCCTGTCAAACTCTCCGCCCCACTTCCCTAATGATCAGCTACAAAAGTACGAAAATCCTCCAAGAAACTCTCAGGACTTATCAATATCTCATCTTAGACCCAATGTCAGCATAAATTAAGTCTATGAAGAATACCTACTCTGGGCTCGAACTCTACAAAACTGGGACAGAAACCCCAAGGAATATGAGCAAATATGGCCACTATTCGATGAACCAGGTAAGCCTGCTTGCTTCAGGCAAGTCACAATGCTTCTGAATGTAATTAAAGCCTTTGGAAGTTGGTAGAAGGGTTTTGGAAAGCTGTTGATTCTTGTTTAGAGTTTTAACAACGGGAGAAATTCACAAAGCGCACTTTTGAAAGGAAAGTATGGCCTAGATAGTCAAGAGTAAAGCTAAATGTAATTTTTAGGAGATCTCATTATATTGCTCAAAATGAAGAATCCGGATACATCTCCCCAGTTTCACCAGTCAAACAACTATAATCCCAATATTCACTCAAATATCTCAATCTCGCCCAAACATCTCGGGGTTTTGGGGTTTTGGGGTTTTGGGGG